GAGCCATCAGCCCAGAGCTGTTCTCAGTTTTTAAGAGTCTTGGGGCGCCTGGGTGGCTCAGTTGGTTGAGCGTCTGACCTCAGCTCAGGTCATGATCTCACAGTCTGTGAGTTCGAGTCCCACATCGGACTCTGTGCTGATGGCTCAGAGCCTGGAGCCTGCTTCCGATTCTGTGTCTCCCTCTCTCTCTGCCCCTTCCCTGCTCATGCTCTGTCTCTCTGTCTCAAAAATAAATAAAAACATTAAGAAAAAAAAAATTAAAAAAAAAAGAATCTCTCATGTTTTGGCTCCCTCCCTCTCTAACCTTTTTTTTTTCCTTCCCCTCCCCCATGGTCTTCTGTCAAGTTTCTCAGGATCCACATATTTATTTATTTTTGATAGAGAGCAAGCAAGGTGCAGAGGGAGAGAATCCCAAGCAGAATCCCTCTGTCAGTGCAGAGCCTGATGCAGGGCTTGAACTCACGAACCATGAGATCATGACCTGAGCTTTTGGGGGGCCTGTGTGGCTCAGTTGGTTAAGCATCTGACTTTGGCCCAGGTTATGATCTCACGGTTTGTGAGTTTGAGCCCCATGTCGGACTCTGTGCTGACAGCTCAGAGCCTGGAGTCTGCTTTGGAATCTGACTCCCCCTCTCTCTGTACCCTCCTGTGTTCACGCTCTCTCTCTCTCTCAATAAATAAATGTTAAAGAAAAAAGACCATGAGCTGAGCTGAAATGAAGAGTTGGATGCCTAACCAACTGAGCCATCCAGGCACCCTACTAACTTAGACTTTTAAATATACAATTTTATTATTGTACCTTGTAACACTTCCAATTTTTAAGTAGAATACTCTTACCTATATTACATATTTGAGATTGTGATGTTCAAGATGATATAAATTATGTCTGTTTTATGTGGTGCTGCTTCTAACAAAGTCATGTGTGGCTGCAAGCAAAGTTACGTTTTTTGAGGTTGGTAGAAAAAAATAGACTTGGGTTTTAATTCTTAGAAGATTGAGTCTATTCTGATTCAAACATAGAATTATTAGATGAATACTATAGTTTACAAAAAAATAATGAATAATTACATTTAGAGAATTACATTTGAGTTAAAATATAATACTTTTGATTTATCTAGCCAAACGTCTCAAGTCCAGTACCAGCTTTGCAAACATTCAAGAAAATTCAAACTGAAATCTACAAAACGGAGAATTAACGTCCTGTTCCATGGGTGAATGGTAGGAGATGCAGCTTGGTCCAAAAGAAGATAAACTGATTTGACAAGTCAAGTTCCTAAGAAATGCAAGGACTTCAGATTTATTTTTAAATAAGGATTTTCAATTTTTCTTTCCTTTTTTGTTCCTTTTTTAAGGGTTTGGGTATTTTTAATTTCCAGGCCAAGTAATGTTGTCTATTTTAAAGAGTATTTGTTACAATAACAAAAGATGCAAGGACAATCTTTGTTTTGTTTTGTAGGCATATTATTACTATTTGAGACTTCTGGTAGCTCCTTATTAATATAGTATTTTAGTAGCAAAGTTTTTGAAAACTAACATTTAAAAATTAATTAATTATAGCAAAGACTTTGAAAAAGAAATATACTTGCCAAAAAGTAGCAGGTCCAAAGATTAATTTAAATTACCATTGCAGTATTATTGTTTTATATATATATTTAATATGTCATACATTACAAATAATATGTAATTCAATCTCTAGTTTACTTTAAGTGATTTTTGAAACCACTAGTTAGAAACCTCCCTAACAATTTTTAGAAGCAGGAAGGCACATTACATTTATCTTTGTAAAAAGATTTACGGTAACTGGTTTCTTACTTAACTTTTATAAATAGTGTTGTATTTAACACCTTATTTTAGCCTTTATTTCTTAAATAATTTGAAATCACTGGACTGCTGTATTATATTCAGGGCAAGATGGATTCTTTTTCTACCAGGGATTTGCATTGTGAATTACATTAAGTTATTTGGCAATTTATAATTTATTACTACTTTAAATCAAATGTAGCATTCTCACAATATGTATTTAAGTTGTTATTTTTTTTTTTTAATGGAGATTCTCTTGGGATATATGGAGATTTTTGGAGGGGAGAGAGAGGAGGGGTAAAAAAATCTTAAGGTTCAGAAAATAGGGACGTGAGGGGTGCTCACGAGAAGACTGTCGAATGGTTCATGTTGAGGGCATGAGTTAAGATGAGTCTGATACAGAAAGCAGTTAGGTTAAGATGCCTGTTTTTTTTCTAAATTATTTAAATCAGTTAAATGTGATATGATAGAAATGAAGTCAGATATTTCACTATCAGAAAGCAAATTCTATTTTGGGATGTTTGTATCAACCTTTCTAGAAAAAAGCTTCATTTCAGAATTGTTCACAGTTTTTTTCCCTCAGGTTTTTAGTGTTAGGTATTTCATTTGTTAATTCCTTCTTGCTTTCATGGTGGCAATAGGCTTTGTTCTAAATGTTGAGAATGTGAAGCCTGCTCTGTATAGAAACAAGAATTAGGTTAAATAGTACAAGAATTTTAATCCCTTCATATATAGTAAAATGCTCTATAAAGAGGCAAGAAAGTGTTTTTAATTTTTTTTAATGTTTACTATGTATGTAGAGTTGAAAAAGAAGGCTTATCTTTGGATATATAACATATCCAAAAGCCGTTACAGTTTTTCTAGTTGGCTGTGATCCATTTAAAATGTGCTGGGGTTTATTCTGTCATTGTCATTGTTCATGCTGCTGATACTAATAACACTGTCTTGATTTGAAGCATATAGTTGAGGGCCATTGAAAGCAATCTTTCATTAATGCAGATAAAACCAGTTTACATATGCAAAGTTACAAAATGGCATATTTGAATCTGTAAGTAGTGACTCTTTGATCACCTTTCAATGTTCTGTATTTCTAAAAACCATTGCTTTTGGGTATGGTTGCAAATAAGCACTTTAGAAAAGAAAAGATAGCCTTTGCTATTTTTCTGGTTGAGTCATTGCTCTTTCAACATAGCATCAGCAATAGATTTCAAAAATGAGTATTAAGCATTACACTGAAGTGTGTAAATACTTCATTTTTTAGTCATACAGATAAATTCTTTGCATAGTTTTAAATTCTGAGACACATAAGCATATGTGTGTGCATCTTTAGCTTTTGACACTTTGAAATAAAGGAAGTAACTTAAAAAAATTGCAGTGCACCATATTTGATTTTTTTTAAGATATATTTTTAAAACTTCAGATATAATTGAACGTCACACATCAGTTTTTCAGGCATTGAGTTTAAATGCCTACTTTAAAAGTACCATTGGGGCGCCTGGGTGGCACAGTCGGTTGAGCGTCCGACTTCAGCCAGGTCACGATCTCGCGGTCCGTGAGTTCGAGCCCTGCGTCAGGCTCTGGGCTGATGGCTCGGAGCCTGGAGCCTGTTTCCGATTCTGTGTCTCCCTCTCTCTCTGCCCCTCCCCCGTTCATGCTCTGTCTCTCTGTGTCCCAAAAATAAATAAAAAACGTTAAAAAAAAAAAGTACCATCTAATCATTTTGTTGTTAATAAAAATGTACTTTTGGATTGTTTATTTTTTTGTTTGGATTTGAGATGTAGAACTAGCATCAGCTAGCTATCTTAAAATGTGACTCTAAATCAATACCACCAGAGTGTAGATGGTAAAGGTTACTTCTAAGGGGACAGCATTTTCTAATGTTTCATGGATGAGCTGTACTTCTACTGCAGTGTACTCCTTATAAACCGAAATGTTTTTCCAGAACGTTATTATTGGGGTTGCATTCCTGATGAAAGACTTGACATCTATAAATAATAGACATCAGCAGCAATGAATTAAAAAAGTAAAATTTATACCAGTAACCTATGTACCTGTTGAAGATAGGAAAAAAATTATGTTCCAAGCACATTGGTTTCTGAGCTACAAGAAACCTTAGTGGTCATCTGGTCACAGACTTTGAGAGCCAGATGGATCCCTAAAGACAGCTGGATCTAACCCATCCACTGCATGAATTCCCTCTAAAAAGTGTATCACTTATTTCCTATCTTCTCAATTGAGGAAGCAGAACATCATGGAGCTCCTTATTTATGACTGAGCCATTGTTTGATAGTCAAATCTAAAATTGAGACTTGAAATACCTAATCAAATGTTTTTCTACTCGGCTCATCCAAAATTCCAAAAAATGATCACATTGATTATAAGAAGAGCTTCGGCCTATGCTGAATTATACATGTAACACATAAAAATTACAACTCTACCAGGGTTGCTTGTTCTAAACTATTACATTGGGTATAATAAATATTAGTCATACATGTAACATACTTAATGACCAGTAGTTTTCTTTGTCTCCTTGGAACTAAAGAGGGCTTTTAGAAGATAATATGACTAATTCATGCTTCTTAAAGTAGGGAGGTTTTCCATAATAATTTTAAAAATCTTTTTCCTGTGATAAACATGTATTTTTTAAAACATCCATCCCAGTACCTAAATGCAATCAAAATATTTCAAACCTTTAAAAGGAATGAATGATAAGCCCATCTTTAGCTAGATATTGTAGTAAATCCTCCATTGTCATACCTAAGTACCAGAATTGTATCCAAAAGTTTTGCCCAATAGCATTAGAAGTGAAAAACAATTCAACAACTGTAATTTCTGGAGTAATTGTAGACAACTAGAATGTAGATAGGAGGATTGGAAGTTTGACTTCTGAAGCAGAAGAGTAAGCAGAAGGAAGTAGGTTTCTGGTCACCAGAATGTGTATCTTCAGAGGCAGAGGCCCACAAGAGAAAGCTTGACAGTCATCCCTGTTTCCAGAGGGGAAGTTATGTCTTCCCTTTCTCCCTCCTATTAGTACTTCATTTTCTATGTTCATTTGAAGTGCTATTGCCAGTAATGTAATAGGAGCTGAGATATAAAGGGCTTGACCGTGGCTTTGTAAAATCCTAATCCTCAAAATAAATAAACAAACAAATAAAATCCAAATCCTCTTTATATCTTGGCTGTTCTTCACTAAACAAGGCAGTGTTTTTTTGTTGTTTTGTTTTGTTTTGTTTTGTTTTGTTTTTACAACCTAGGGACTGTTATCAGTCAAACTCCAGCATTTCCCACCTCACCCCCCAACACATACACATGCTCTTTCTCTTGCTTTTCTCCTTATGGGTTTGGAGAATTATGGTGTGGGCAAACAGCTAGCACAGGATGTAAAGAGTGTGAGTGAGCAAGTAGAATCTCCACATTTACTCTTTCCCCTCACACCTCTCCCCTGTGATTCCCAAATATTTATATAGGAGGGACCTAGGAATGGAAATCTCTAGGAGTAGTATTAGATTGTATATTTACTGGGGGAGGCTTTTGGAAAATGATGGACATTGTGAAAGGGCTAAGACTGCTTGAAATTACACTGCTTGCCACACTTTGCCCACCATCCACTCAGGACTTACTCCTGCTCCAACCCAGCATCTCAGGAGAAACATGAAATTGTTGTTTAGCTGCTTTGGCTCCTCCTGCTAGGTTTATGTCCTCTTTTCTTTGTTCGCTTTTCCCCCTGTCTCCTAATACCACAATAGATAGAATTCATAGGAACTATCCTTTGTAGTTTAGCTATTATCACCAAATCTGCACCACTCATTCTGTGTCTTTGAAACACCATGGATAGGTGCTTACTTACATGGGTACTGAAATTTTGCTTGTAACCAACCCCACCATGCTGGAAGTGAGTTAGAGAATGCAGTCACTGACCTGGTCAGGCTCTGGAAAACCCTTTTGGGGGTTGAGATCCTTGCTTATTGATAGTCTGCTTTCACGAGGTATATCCATGTCACTTTTGGCTCTCAAGTCCACCCAGCTCCTTGGATTTAAGCCCTGTCATTTACTCTTGTTCCCATAGTGCCACCATTTTTCTTTGTCCCCATTAGCTTCACAAACACCAAAAATTCAAATGACCTGATGGGATTGTGGTAAAGTCTAAGTTTTTCAGTACTTTAAAGAAATCATTCCTTTGCCTTCAGGATTGCAAAGTTTCTGAAGAGAGTCCTGCTATAGTTCTTGTATTTGTTCTTCTGTATGTTATGTTTTTGTTGTTTTCTGTCTACCTTCAAGATTTCTTCTTAATTTTTGATTTCCAGCAGGTTTACTGTGATGTGTCTGGGTGTATTTTTCTTTGTATTCTCCTAGATCCACTAGATCCTTTAGTGTTTTAATCATGGTTATTTTTATATTATTTTATGTTTTATTTTTTAAGTAGGCTCCATGCCCAGTGTGGAGCCCAACATGGGGCTTGAACTCATGACCCTGAGGTTAAGACCTGAGCTGAGATCAAGAGTTGGCTGCTTAACTGACTGAGCTACTCAGGTGTCCCTAATCACAGTTATTTTAAAGTTCTTGTTGGATAGTATCAATATCTGAACCATCTCTGGATCTAGTTCTTTGATTACTTCATCTCTTGACAATACATCATTGTCATTTTCTTCTTGATTTTTAATTCATCTTACAATTTTTGCCTAAATGTCAGACATTGCACGAAAAAGAACAGTAGAAACTGAAATAACTAGTATTCATACCTACAACTGAGCAAACATTTCTATCAGACTATTAGTATGAGGAGTGAGGGTTGAATACCTCCCATCAGTAGTTGATCTGGATTTGGGTTTTATTGTTAATATTATTACCTTCAGTATATCACAGGTCAAATTACTCCAGTGATCGAATTTGTGCAGCTACTTTGTGTTTGGTGTGTGGCCTAGAATGCCAAGAGAGTTCTTCTCAGTGTTCCTACTTCAACTTTCAGCAGACTGTGTATAACCGTGCTAAGTGGGATCTCTCTCCATGGTCTTGTCTCTTCCTCAGCTATAGGGGTCTCTTGCTTGTTTCTTTGTGCAAGGCTTATGGTAGGGGTAGGCATTGTTTCTCCCCCCTCTAACCTCAGTTTCATGCAGGTCCTGGGCTCTTGAGCTTTAGGGTGGGTCTCCTTCTCCCCCATGGCAATCGGACACTGCATTGTAATGGGGGAGGTCTTAAATGGGAGTGAGTTTTCTGTCCCTTTCTCACTGACAGTAGACCTTGCTTTGTATCAGTGAAGGATCCTGGTGACTGGTAGGTTTCTTGCCTTCCTCCAGCATCTGATGGCTTTTGCTTCAACTCCTCTTCTGCCACAGCCAACCTTATCTTGGGACCAGGGGGCAAGAAGATTTAGTACCACTCCTTTAGTGGCAGATGGCTTTTTCTTTGTATGGAAGATGGACATGGGCCCCATGCCTGTCTCGCATTGGTAGCTGGCCGTCATCTGCATGCCTGTCTCACCAAAGGGAGGCTCTTTCAGTTCTCCTGATCTGCACCCAGTCTTTCCTGTGAATACCCAGGGAGGCCTATGGAAAAGTGCTGGCAAATGGGGCACAGACTTTGTATCCATGGCTCCCAGGGGTTCTAAGTTGTCATTCTAGCCATACTTGGTCTTTAAACTTCTGTTAACATTTCAGGTTTTTTACCTTTACTTTTTTGGCTGCTACTCTTCCTCCTGTACTCTTCCCAAAGCAAAATAGTTGGTAGGAGCAGTGTTTACTGGCTTTCTATATCCTAAGTGGGACTAGAACTCGCTGATTGCTTCTTTATTGTCAACTGTTTTTACTTGATGGAAAACTGCTCAACAATTTGTTTAATACATTCAAAGAGGTAAAACAGGCAGTGAGGGCCTTAACCAGTTGACTGGAATTGTGGCTATTGGAGGTCCCAGTATACTGCAATTATGTCTATTATGTCCTATAATGGAGGGGCCGTCATGGCCTTGAAAGGGAAGAACTGTGTGGCTATCGCTGCTGACAGGCACTTTGGGATCCAGGCCCAGATGGTGACCACGGGATTTCAGAAGTTCTTTCCCATGGGCAGTCAGCTGTATATAGGACTGACTGGGCTTATCACTGATGTCCAGACTGTTGCCCAGCAACTCAAGTTCTGGTTGAACCTGTATGAGCTGAAGGATGGTTGGGAGATCAAGGCTTACACCCTCATGAGCATCATGGCCAACCTCTTGTACAGAGATGGTTTGGCCCCTACTACACAGAGCCAGAAATCCCTGGGTTGAACCTGAAGACCTTTAAGCTCTTCATTTGATCTCTAGACTCATCAGCAACCCCATGGTGACTGACGACTTTGTGGTCAGTGACATCTACTCCAAACAAGAATGGGATGTAGGAG